TATGGTTCATGGGGTCACGAAGAGTCGGACACGACTTAACGACTAAACAACAACAAATGATGTCTGGTGATCCCGAGATGAACTAGATAATGTTAGCCTGCTAAAGGGGTATGCTTTGAGGAGAAGCCAGGCCGACTCTCAGAATTGGAATAGAGCATGATTTGGAGCAAAATGCTGAAGATTGGGACTAGGGTAGGCAGAATTTTTTGGCACAGAGGCTCTGGCGGGAAGCCAGAAGACCAAAACATGAGACCAAGTTCTATCTCCCCATTGTGTTAAAAGAGAGAATGTAGCAGTGTTTCCCTAGTAAGACCTCAACCTGATTTTTGGGACTACTGCATTAGGCTGAGTTCAGACTTTTCACACAGAAACCATGAGTAGTATATGAACAAGAGTTGCTGTAAGTCTGGGCTTCTTGACAGGTGACAGAACTGAGATACAAATGGAATATACAGTAGAAGTACAGTTAGGACACAACAGTGTCCATCTGTTGCCCATTATGGAGAAAAGTAGCCTTTATTCTTTGTATATCAATGGTGGTAGGTCTGCATTTCCTTTGCACGACAACATCTACCTAATACTAAATGGCATGCAGTTCTTTCTGTGAGGTGATATTTATTTAAAGAAAAAAAGAAAGTAACATCATTTGTTAAAGGGTAAATATAATAGTTAATATGCAGTATGGAGATCTGGCTACTCTTTCTAGGATTGTCCCTGGAACCAATCTCATCTAGTTCTCAAGAACAGAACAGCATATTTGCAACTAAGAAAACTTCATGTCTAACATTTTCACAAAAGTCTACCAACCTGATCTGATGGGATATCTACCAGTCAGGAAAGCAGTTCTGCTTGGAGTACAAAGAGATGCTGCACTGATATGCTGAGTAAGTTTTATTCCTTCTTTTGCTAGCCGATCAATATTTGGTGTCCTAAAATGGAGAAAGAAAATGGTACCCAAATAAAATGGTCTGTCTCATCTTCAGGAATTCTTCTACCAAAACAAAACATTAGCACTTCTTTTCAGAATAGGGCCTAAAGCACTATCTCAATTTCTGAATAATATGCTGGGGGCCAAGTCCCAACATCTCCTACTGATGCTGGTCCTCTTGGACTATATAGACTATATTTCATACGCTTAACTACCAAATATTTCTGACCAGGTTACAATCCCTGGACATCATCAGTTGTGCTTTTGACTGGTTCAAGTTTGTCTTCCTGTTTTTTTGCAGTGTTGCATGGTGCATTACAGTTCTGGAATGCCCTCTTATAGCATGTGTTTCTCCATGATTAGTCCTGGGTCCTACTTTGTTTATCTTTTATATCCTTTCCCTGGGTGTGCTGATTCATGACGAGGACTTTCAATATCATTATTACGCTCATACTAAGTCTTTCATCGCCCTTAATGGCAATGCTTGGTCAACCATGACAGACTGTCTTACTGATCCTGGATGTCTTTACTGATCCTGGAAGACTTTACTGATCCTGGATGTCTTCCCATTGCCTCAAATTGAACATGGGTAAGATGGAGATTGTGTGTTTCAGCCTGATCATTCTTTACATCTTTTACCGTGTTTCTTCACTGTATGTTCCCAGAGCTTCTGGATTAGCCAAGCTTGCTCTTCCCACAACCTTGAATGATGATCAGCTGAAGACTCGATAATTTTTATTTGATGGGTATTCATAGTATCTAGTGGTTTTTGATGGAGGAAATTGTAGCTTTGTTGATTTATTATTGGAGTAGTGTTTTGGCAGGTGTTCCTGATGCCTCTTTCCTTCCTGGCTCTTACCAGAACTGTACCATTCACATTGTTGTAGATCTTCAATGTGAATCTCATGTTCTGTTACCCTGTAATTCTTGTTCCATAGTAGCAGCTTTCCAAGCCATAAGAGGTCTCACTCTGTGACGTCTTTTGTCCTTCAATCTTTGTGATAGCTTGATTGTTTTCAAAAGGGGTTAAATACTTTTTTATCTGGCCAGTGAGTTACTGTGAAGAAAGCATGGGAAGACAACAGAGAAAAGCAAGCATTGTCTAGGTTCTTCATTAAAAAAAATAAGGAAAGGGAATCCCAAACCAGATTTCCAGGGTGGTAGCTATCAAAGCAATCTTTCTTTTGCAGTTAGTCATTGCTGAAGGTGCAAAATTGTCAAATACAGTTAAACTATCATATACAATTAAGGAAGTGTTCTATCTATCTATCTATCTATCTATCTATCTATCTATCTATCTATCTGTGGTGTCAGCCTCCTGCACTAATGCATCGAATGTAAATGTCTGCAGGACAGAAGCTGCATTGGCTCACATGGAAGCAAATGAATTGCATGTACATTCATAAATCACATGCATGCATCTGGGCTCCATGTGTAACATCAGTGGGCAGCTGAGTCTGTCACGCAAAGAAGACATAGTGTTTAGAAAGACCTAAATGGGGGTTAGAAAGAAATATAATTTCCTTTTTTTTTTTTCTTTTCAACCCAAGGTCTTTGTGTGGCTGATTTAGCTTTGCAAGTCAGATGTTAGTCAACACTTGCTGTTGCCACTAGGTGGCAAAACTGAATGGGACTACAGGAAAGAATCTGTTACCTTATCGATACTGATGCTCATTTCCAAGTCTGCTGGAAATACATGATTGGATATCTTAATCAAATTACTGTGATTTCTTTCTGCAGGTTTGTTTTTGAAAATTCTTGCCTTGTGTGGGTAAAAATGCAACCACCTTCCAACAATGGATTTTCTTTAAAAGGTTTCTGTTGCACTTCTTTTCTTTCTGGGTTTTTTCACCCATTTTTCTAAGTGAACAGGCATTTGTAGTACAAGAGATCATTCTCCTAAATTAAAATTTACATTCAAATCATAGGCATCTGCCTATTTGTATAATGATCATGATGCACGTGATGTCACTGCGACATGTACCAGGCACCTATGATTCATATTGCAGTACCAATTATAATACAGTATGTATCCTTTATGTAGCTTCTTTGATATTCTGCACTGATATATAATATTTTCACTATCACTTAATTCAGCTTTTCCATTATCCCTTTTAGAAAATAGTGCATTGTTCTTGAACATTCTTTTAAAAAATCTCTTTTAAACATGGTAAAAAAAAACAAAACCCAAAGATGATTTACTTTTATTGTTACATTTACCTGATAGTATCATTACCAAAGCATCCCAAATCACCATATCCAAGATCATCTGCCATTAAGAGCAAAATGTTAGGTTTTGACATGTTGGTTACCCAGAACTGGGAAAATAAGATGAAAACAAGCAAAACAGTTGGAGAGCATCTGTAAAAATAAGAGCAATGTTATCATTGGATTAGAATTTTTGAAACGTAAATGTCCTACAATCGTAACAGGTGGAGTTTTTTATTTTTATTTTTTTAGCAGGATCAATTACAGTGTGAAAGACCTTCTGATGGTTTTATTCTGATGGTTTTATTGAAATGTTACACCTTCTTCCCAACTCTTGTTTGCCTCCTTTATTAATCAGAAAATGGACTATGGCAATATTTATTGAAGGAAAAAGGTACTAATTTTCACCAACAAGATGCCTTTTCAATCAGGCAGTAATGAATTTGAAATGGATGTGGGAATTAAAGTGCCATCTTACAAGTATAGCTGAGCTTTCAATGGACAGAGTTCTTAAATGCCATCCTAAATTCCCCTGTGATCTTAAATTCCATTCTGCATTATCATACCTGGCTCTAGAAGCTACCGGATCCACATATTGCTTGTGCAAACTGTGGTATGCTCAGAAAAACTACAAATGCAGTCTTTAAATCCTTAGATTGGGGTGTCTGTTATTTTTCAGATAGAGACCTTTGAATACATGTTGGGGACAGCATTCCAAAAAGTAGGCAGGACCACAATAACACTAAATGCGATTTAATTTAAATTTATTTGTAACATATTTAAAATTATTAAAAGGCAGTCAATTCTTTCCCATGTATTTACTAATTTTTATCTCCTGTCACATTGAAAATATAGAGTTATGACTTCTGCCCTTTTTTTTTTCTTTTTCTTTCTTTCTTTTAGACTTTTATTGTATCCAACATTTTATTTAAAAGAGAGAGAGAGAGAGAGAGAGAGAGAGAAAGTGGTTGGTCTGCAGGAAAACCGAGGAGGAAATGAAATATCTAGACCTGTTTCAGTCAGGTTTCAGGCTGGGGTTTAGCACTAAGATAGTAAATCTACAAACACTTTGGTTGCACTTGTAGATGAGTTGTAGCAGGGATGGTGGTGGTGCATCTGTTCTTGTGCTCCTTGATCTCTCAGTTGCTTTCAATACCATGGTATCCTGAGCGGGCTCTGTAGGCTGGGATTGGGGGCCTTGTTTTACTGTTTTCCTTTCTCCAGGACTGGTTCCAGTCAGTATTTGTTAGGGGAGAGATTGTTCCCTAGGTCCCTCCTTTGTGGGGTGCTGCAGGGGTCTGCTATCTCTCCCCTCCTTTTCAACATCTGCATGAAAGTACTCAGTGAGATCTGCCGGTGTGAAATTCAGTATCATCAGTATGCTAATGTTACCCAATTATATGTTTTCATTCTGGGCCAGCTGAGGCTGTTGAGTTTCTGTCCCAGTGAATGGAGGCTGTGCAGGTCTGGATGGGGAAGAACCATCTCCAGCTCAATCTTACCAAGACTGAATGTCTGTGGGTGTTTGGGCTGCACAGACCTGGTGATATTCCATGTCTGATCTTGAATGAGGTGGCACTTCCCACAGCGGTGCACAATCTTGGGGTCTTCCTGGACTCACAGTTCCTGCTCAGTGAGCAGTTGGCAGCTGTGTCCAGGAAGGCTGTTGCACAGCTTCATCTGGTGTGCCAATTGCACCCTCTCCTAGAATGTGGGCCCTTCAGGCAGTCACTCATACCCTGGTCACTTCATAGCTTGTCTATCTCAACATGTTCTACATGGGCTATTCTTGAAGACCACCTAGAAGTTTCAACTGGTCCAGAATGCATAGGTAGTGATGGGCATACTTTAGTACAGGTAGTCCTCACCTGCTGACTGCCTTGTTCAGTGACTGTTCAAAGTTATGATTGCACTGAAAAAGTAGGTTTATGACTGGTCCCTGTAGTCACGTTGATCACGATTTGGGCACTTTGCAACTGGCATGCATTTGTGATGGTCACAGTATCCCATGGTCATGTGATTGCCATTTGTGACCTTCACAGCTAGTGTCTGACAAGCGAAGTCAATGGGGAAGCCAGCAGGAAGTTGCAAGTTGTGGCCATGTGATGTCGCACTTAATGACCCATGGTGAATCACTTAATGACTGCAGTGGAGATGACATCATAAGTCTGGTGCAGTCACATGATGTTTCACTTAACAACTGCATTGCTTAGTGACAGAGTTGCCTGTCCCAATTGCAGTCATAAGTGAGGACTACCTGTATACCCATGTAACACCTCTGCTTTTGATTGCCAGTTTGCTTCAGAGTGTGATTCAAGGTGCTGGTCATTACCCTATATGGCATAAGGCCTAATTACTTGAGGGTCTGCCTGTCTCCCATTTTTAACGGGCAGGGTTGGTGCACTTTGGATCCTTTTGATTAAACAATTTCAGGACCCCAGAAGCATACCTTCTTTGTATAGGTAGTCCATGATTTACAACCATTCCTTCAGAGACTGTTCAAAGTTACGGTGGCACTGAACAAATGGACTTATGACCGGTCCCCAAAGTTACGGTCATTATAGAGCCCCTGCAGTCACATGATCAAAATTCAGGCGCTTGGCAGCCCATCTGCACTTACAACTGCAGGGGTGTTTCAGCTCCCCCCACCCACCTATCTCCCATCTATGCCCTTGCCACCCTAGCTGACCTTTGCCATCTTCTTGCTTCTATTGCTGATCAAGCATGCCCAGCCTCATCCTTTGTGAGGCAGCTGCTGGCTGCACAAGGCTTTCTTCTGCACAAGGCTTTCTTCCCAAAGTCACGCACAGCAGCTTCCTTGTGAGACCTGGGGAAGATGACCTCATGTGGCCAGCAGCTGCCTTGTGAAGGGCTAGGGTGGGTATGCCTCATCAGCAGTGGGAGCAAGAAGACGGTAAAGGTCAGCTGAGGCAGTGGAGCGCAAGGCGGCAGGGGCTTCGGAAGGCAGGGTGGTGAGGGCAACTGCAGCTGGGACTGGGCTGGGGCAGCTGGGGCTTCCCAGGATGCTCTGGCTTTGCACCGCACTGCTGGGGCTTCCCAGGCATAGCAGCCTCACGCCATGCTGTTGGGGCTTTCCAGGATGCTGTGGCTTCACGCTGCGCTGTTGGGGCTTCCCGAGATGCTGCACCTTTGTGCCATGCTGCTGAGCAGGCTGCAGAGATGGGGGGAAATAGTCAGTAGGTGGGAGTTAAGGGAAGGCAGCCCCTTTACTGAGGATCTGGGCTGGGAGGGAGCAAGCCGGGAATGGCTTGGATTGGGGTGAGTCCTTGCCTAACAACCTGCATGTCTTGGGGTTACGACGGCAACCAAGACTGCCCATGTTTGCTGTAGCTAAGCAATATGATCACATGACATCATGCTTTACAATTGCATCACTTAATGACAGAAATTCCAGTCCCAATTGTGGTCGTAAGTTGCTCCCCTGAGGTCTAGATGGTCCCCACCCTGCTGGTGTTTCAAAAGGCCTTGAAGATTTGCCTCTTTGCCAGACCTTTGGCAAGGGTGAGTGAAGCCCCCCTTTGGTTTGCGTGGGTTTGCTTTTTCATTCCTGTTTTTTTTTTTTTTTACATCCTTGCCATCTTCTATTCTTTATTTTTGTCCATTATTTCATTTTTTCCTTGTTTTTAATCTTTTATTTGTGAACTGCCCAGAGGTGTTGGGAGTTGGGCAGCATACAAATTTAAATAAATAATAAATAAATAATAGTAATACCATAGCACGTTCAGATATTCTAATAGAGATTATTAATCAAATTTCAGACGAATTTACTATAGATTTATTTTTAAAAATTCTGAGAAGATTATGTGCCATGAAGATCTTTTTTAAATAATATATTCAGTTAAATTTAGTGATCTCCATAGATTAGCCAGAATAAATACCTGAATACCAGAGATTACTCCAGCTCTGTAATCAGTTTTTCTTGGAAGCTTTACTTCAGTCCATTGGTGGATACAAAACTCTGTTAAACACCCTGCCAAAATTTTATGGACCACCTGTAATGAATAGGCTTTGCAAAACATTTATGCAGAATGTCTGGTTTATACCTACTTGGCCATAAAATGTTATCAAAGCTATTTGACTATCAGCATTGCTAATGCTGGAAAAAATAGATAATATATCTCCAATAAAACCAAAATCCAATAATACATTCAAAAATCCACATAAAAATAGATAATACACATCCAATCCATCAAAATCCAGTTGATTTGTTACTTAATAGAACTACTCCTTTTTAAATTCCATTGATATGAATCTGATCCACCCAGTTTCTTGTAAATATAAGGAAGAACCTGGGAAGAACCTGAATTTGTTTGTTTTTTTAAAAAATACCCTATTCCAAGCGTCACCCTCTTCAATTTTTGTTTTAAACTTCTTAGGTGTATCTCTCAGTTTCTTGACATTCCAAAATATAGAATGTAAAGAATGGATGAACAAGTGAATGAATAAAGATATATAACTGTATATTAGATTCTAATTAACATTAGAAACAGTAATATCAAGGTGACAAAAAGGGACTGTTCTTATTTACCAAATTAAAACTGTCAGTTTAAAATATAATGTCTAAAGAGAATAAAAATAGCATTAAAGCTAGTAATAAAACTATAAACTTTGACTATAGAAGAATTCATAGTCGTGCAAAGAGAAAAAAGAATGAAAAAAAGAATGAGGGTGAGAGTAAAAAAGAAAAGAAATATGGAGAAGGAGAAGGAGAAGGAAGAAGCAGTAATGCTTAGATTCCTGGCAGAGAATGTTGAAACCACAACCCTACCCCATCTCCCTTCTTTCTAAGCTGAGTGTCTAGTCTATTTCAAACTTAAAATATTTCCTAAACAAAGCATCTTATACTTAATATCTGAATATAGTAAAAAAGTCTTTATAACAAGTGTACCTTTTATTGAAAAGATTGTTGTGTTCCTCCCCACCCACGCCAAAGAAAATTGGGTTTCAGGTCTTATTTTTAGACAACTGGCAGTAGTTTTAGGATCACAGAATTTCCTCACTCACTCATTTGTATAACATCACTATGTAAATAAAGTAAATTGCACCAGAATTTGGTCTGCGGCAGACAAAGTCCTTTGCACTGAGATTTCACTTTCTATTGAATCATAAACTAATCATTCTCACAACATGCTAAACCACAAAACTAACCAAAGTAAAATAAGATTAGCGTAATATGTGAATGCAACCATCAAGGCTTTAAATTTGGTTAGGTGTGGTTTGCAATCCCAGCCTTATATTAACATTATCTTCTTGTTGAGAACTTTTTCAACCAAGTCAGGAATTAATGAACTATCACAGAAGCCATCACTCTGTGTATAAAAATGACTGTAATCCGGACTCAGCTTTTCAACCTCACCTCCCATCCCTAGCTCATAAATCTTTAGCATTTATTGAAGCAGCACCAATTCAAATGCTGCCTCAAGCAACCAGATCTTTTTTGCTGTTCATGGAAAGACCATAGAAATTTTAGAAAGTTATACACCTGCTGTCCCCTCAGCTTGCTGAAAAACTGCCCTCTCTTCTCAGATAAATACATTAGAGCATGGTCCTGTACATGATTATGAAGATGTGAGGTCGATTTATGGCCAATGTATATAAAAAATCTTAAAAAGATAATTGTCATAGCAGTCTGATGTTCTTGCACACCATATATTGGCAAGGAGATTCATAGCTGCCATTACAGGTAATCCCTGGGTTAAGAATGTCTGGTTTACAGACGAGCCATAGTTAAGAATGGAGCCTATTGTAGCAAAATTCAGATTAAATACACAATGGTTCAAATTTATTACACAATACTACTTATATAGTACTATACAATAATATGTTCTGGCTTACATACAAATTCAATTTAAAGACAGACCTTGGGAACAGAACTCTTTCTTAAACTGGGGACTACCTATAGACATAGTTATAAGAACAGCTAGAAACAATAATTAAAGAATCTAACCATTACACCAAGCAGTATGTCCTATTTTAAAAAGGGGAAAAAAAATTGTCTTCAAAATGAGTATCAGAAGCTAACTCCTCACTTAAGGCTTCTCTTACCTGGAATTTCCTCCGTTGAACATGTTAAGCAGCATCACTAGGTCCACACCAGAGGCAGAACTGGAATAGACTTTAAGGCTTCTTTCTCTCCTATTAAGAAATCACTTTGCCTGTTTCCCCACCCTCGGATTACCTCATTGGTTGTTTAGATATATTGGGTTTAATGGCAATTCTGCTAGTCAAAACTGAAATGAGGAACTGCATAGTTCATTCGTTGGCAGGAAGTTTAAAAGCTAAATGTTCACCTTTGCTTTTCTGATTGAGTTTGTTGGCAAGAAAAACAGGATCACTTGCTGATGTATTCAGTTATCTGAGTCTGCCAAAACATTTTTGGTTTATTCTTTTACTCTTAAGTAGAGTTTGATACACTTACTCTCTGGTTGAGAGTCAGTTTGGTGCGGTGGTCAAGGCACCAGGCTAGAAACCTGGAGACCGTGAGTTCTAGTCCTGCCTTTGGCACAAATCCAGCTGGGTGACCCTGGGCCAGTCACTCTCTCTCAGCCCTGGGAAGCAGGTAATGGCAAACCACTTCTGAAATCTTGCCAAGAAAACCAGGAGTTAACACTGACCGGAAGGCACCAGAACAAATGAATGAACAAACAAACCCCTCTGGTTAACCTTTTCCTATATAGCTGTCCTTAATTTTTCCTGATTTCTATTGTAGGCTTTCAGGATGGCCTAATTTAACAAGAACAAGAAACAGAGAAGATAATTTGTTTTTGTTTTGTATTTGTTCCAATTATATCACTTTTTATCTTCCAACTCTTTTTATGATCTGGATGTAAACCTATGCACATTAACAAGTGAGTAAGCTTTATCGAACTTTATGAGACTTTTGCCCAACAAGTAGCTTGCCTATGAAAATTAAATATTCACCTAAGAAAGGTTTGCCTGCCATTAACTCCAAACTGTGCATTTCTAATGACAAGCCAACACAAAATTGGCACCATTTAAGTCTTGATCAAATATTACTCGAAATAACTCAGTAACAGGTTCAGATGAAGTTTCTGCTTGTTAACCATACATTAGGGCCCAATGCTTCCAAGTCAGTTTCAAAGCAAAATGCCCAGCCAAAAAATCAAACTTAAAACTTCCCTTGAATTCAGTGGGATTTTCCCCTCTGTAAATATGCATAGGGATGCTGCATAACATTGTTAAAGAAGAGATCAACCCTGAGTGCTTCTCAGGCAAAGTGAGACCTATAATGCATAGAAACTGAGAATACAGAACTACTGTTAGAGTTCACACTGCTTTTTCAAGGGAGTGTATTTTTGAAGAAAGGCTCAAAGTCTGTATAGAAAGCAGAGAAAATAGGGTTTGGGCACTAATGGGTTAATAGGACATATCTGCTTGTTCTATTTCCAAAAGCTGATGGTTGGGTCAATGCTCCTCTCCTCTTTTCAGATTCCTGTTTCACTAACAATCAACCAGATTGGGTTTTGGTGGCTCTTGAGTGGCTTCTTTGCCGCTCTGTGCAACAAGAGAGAAGGGAGGGGCAGGACTGTGAGTGGATATCAGATACTTCCCTGTTTCTTTCCTGGAAGGAGAGAACAAAGTTGTTGTATGTTTGCTTATTTTGGTCACAGTACTTGGGCACAGGAGGCAAAAAACCCCCCAGAGTCCCCCCTTTTGGGGGGGGTGGGGGGGGGGATAAAATTGATATATA